AACCGGATGGGCATCTGCACAATGGTGGTTCGGCCTTGTGGGCTTGCCCCTAACTTGGGAGGAATCCCATGCCCTCACGGGCTCAGTTGGTACTTGTCCCTCTGGCCTTGATGCATAGCCTTCCCTCCCTCAGGGCTGTCCGGCTATCTAGGTGTGATGTCATGCCTACTGCAATGCCTCCGAGAGAGGCACTTTGTTCTTATACTGCTTCTCTCTCTATCTCTTGGCTTTGTCCTTTTTTTTTTCTTTCTCAAAAGAAATATACTCCTGAGGAGGAGAGTGATGTGGAGCTGCCTCCTTTCCTCCAGTCTCCTACAGGGGGCTCAAAAGCTTCCCCTGCTCTGCCTCCTACAGGGAGCTTAAATGCTTCCCCTGCTCTGCCTTCTGCGGGGGGGTCAAAGGCTTCCCCTGCTCTGCCTGCTGGTGCTGCACTGGCTGTGCTGCTCCTTCTCCATGCAGGAGCCTCAGCACATCTGGCGTGCTGCACCCCAGCGCTCTCTCTCTCCAGCTCTCTCCCTGCCCGGGTTCTGGCAGAGCTTTTAAACTTTCCCACGGTGGCCGGTGTGGCTGCCGCAACTGGTCCAGCTGTTCCCTGCCCAGGAAATGGCTGATTAAACAGCCAGCATAACGCCGACTCACACAGACATGGCCGCGGTCCTGGCTCCTGCTCTGGCTGCCCAGCAGGAGATAAGTTTTCCCCGCAGGGGGGCTGTTTCTGAGGTTTGGGGCCTGCGGGATTTACCCTCTCCCCTTTGGGAGCCTGTGAGGGCGCCTCGCTGCTGCAGTCCCCCTATTCGCATGGCTGGGCCTTCTGGCTTGGGGAAAAATACCTCCCTTGGTGCCTCTATCTTTCTGACTGCTATCCCCCTTCCTGGTTACTGGCCATGTCCCAGCAAATTCAGGATGGGGTAAATTTCCCCATCCTGAATTTTCTTCACAGGCTTTGGTCCAAGCATCAGCTCAAGTATGTCAAGAGTTGCACAAGTTCTGCAGGTCCGTTTCATATTCTCCTCAACCTCCTCCTGGTTACTGGCAATGTCCCAGCAAATTCAGACTGAGGTACATTTCTTCTGACTGGGGTAAAGCTTCTTGCTGGGGAAAACCCTCCCTGCCTCCTGCATCAGAATGAGTTGCACAAGTTCTGCAGGCCCATTTAATTTATTTCTGCATCTGCAGCTGTGCTCAGGAGCTATGCCCACTGAAGTGGCATAGGGCTGGGAGTGCAGGTGAGGCTTTCCTTATCACCCACTCCTTGAGTTTCCTCCCTGAATTATGGAGGCTTTCTTCTTGGTTGCTGGCCAAGCCCTCCGGCAAATTCCTTCCCAGAGTCCATGTAGTAAGTCCATGCCTGTGGGCTCTTCACTGCACTCACCAACTCACCCCTCAGTCTGTGCCGTGTAAAAAACACCTCTCCCTTACACCTTGTAATTTTCAAATTGTTGCTGGCCACAAATGCAGCTAAGGCTTGAGTTTCTTCTCTCAGTTGTGGAGGCTTTCTTTTTGGTTGCTGGCCAAGCCCTTCAGCAACTTCCCTCCTGGGGTCCATGTAGTAGGTGCATGCCTGCAGGCTCTTTGCCCCACTTACCCACCCACCCACCAGTCTGTCTCCCTGAGGCTTCTGTCTCCTTGAGTTTCTTCTCTGACTTGAGGAAGGACGATTTTAAATAAATAAAGATAACAGAAAGTAGTATAACAGAAGGGGAGGACTTTCCTTCTCAGCACCTTTACAATATAAAATATTGTAAAACTTCTATAAAACTATAGACACCTGCCTGCCTCCCTCCCTCTCCCCCTCCATCTATCCATCCATCCCTAAGCTTTGTGGCCAGCAACAATTTGAAAGTTACTATTTGTAACGGATATTACCTTGGCCTGATTCAGGCAGCCAGCTTAATCAGGCCATCCATCTCTGCCTAAGGTAAATCTCCTGGGACCCCTTTGGGACCATGCCTGCCCTCCCCCCCTTCTTTTACCCACCCATCTTCCTGCTGGGATATGGCCAGTAAACAGAAAGGGGGGCTGGCTACCTTCCTGCCTGCGTCCCTCTCCCCCTCCATCCATCCCTAAGCTTTGTGGCCAGCAAACATTCAAAAGTTACTATCTGTAACGGATATTACCTTGGCCCGATTCAGCCAGCCAGCTGAGTCAGGACATCCATCTTCACCTGAGGAAACCCTCCTGGGGCCCCTTTGGGACCATGCCTAAGGCCTTCTCCCTCTCCCTGAGTCATGCACCCCCCGCCCCACCCATCTTCTGGTGAGGAACATTGTAATGCATTGATAAAGTATTTAAAGAGTTGCTAAATGCTAAAAGCCCTGCAAGGTCCATGCTTGCTGCTGGGGATGGGTGGGGTTGTTTAGTCTTTTTTTCTTGCAAGAAAAGCTAACTGCACACTAGCACTGGCCAAGCATTCGATCTCCCTCCCTCCAATAACAGTCCACCCTGCAACTCTTTCCAGTAATGCCATGACTCCATAATATGCCATGACCCTTTGCTCCATAAAAGTTATGCAGTCATCAGCTCCCCAAAAACCACCCCACCCACCCCCATTGGCCATGCATGCCAGTTCTGCCTATCAAAGAAAACATGACACATATATAGACCAAGAATAAAACACTTTATTCACCCATCTTCTGGTGGGGAACATTCCCTGTCCCCAGACATTTGCTGCTGGGACATGGCCAGTAACCAGGAATGGGGGCTGGCTGGCTGGCTGCCTCCCTCCCTCCCTCTTGCCCTCCCCCCGTCCCTCACCAAGTGACATACCGACCTGAATTCTGAACCACACATACCTGGCTACCTGTGGCCACTGTGTGCTGTGAGGGAGGAGGGAGGGGTGAGGAGTGACTGAGGGTTAAACAACAAAGAAAAAAAAGACACTACACAGCAGCACCTACTGCCTAAAGGCTGGAACGCAGTGCCACCTCATGGCAAAGGGGATTAATTAGAAGTCTTTGGAGCTGCTGGCTGTTTGGATGAAACAAAACCATAGCTGGGGCGGCGTAACTGGGAAGCATCGCAAAATAACATCTCCAAGTAATGTTAGTTAAAGTCTGCTAAATGGACTTTTAGAGTGGTGGGAAATCCCAGGTCATGCAAATACAAATGCCATTGCATTAGCATAAACGGAAAATATAATTTATTTTACACACCCCCCTAATTTCTGTCCAAATGTGTGAAGAGGAACAAATCTTATTTTATCACCCAAGCCTGTGGCAGAATGCCAGCTCAGTCTCTCCCCAAACTCTGCTCAGTCTCTCCCCAAACTCTGGTTTATTACCTATCTGACAATTTGGTTACCATGGTCACTGCAGAGGGCAGGCACCCCTGCCCCCATCTGCTTCAGGTAACCCCGAGTTGTAACCTGAGCTGGATACTTTCCCGAGGGAGGGGGAGACCTGCTCCCTTTGCCTATGTGACTGGCCTCACACACCTGGGTGGGGGGGCTTAAACTCCCTATTGTTCTAAACAATGACATCATGACTGGGAGGGGAGCTAGAGACCCTACCTGTCTACCCGGCAACCAGTGATGCATTTCAAATTGGTTGGCTGGCCTTCATTGGATGAGGTAAATGAGGTCATAAGATCTATATAAAACTTAAAGACTGCTCAGGAGGAGGGACAGCAGCCATGATGAAGACACAGAGAGCAGCTCAGCTATGATATGCCTGCCTCCAAAGGAAAGCTGTATCAGCCTCTGGATGATACTTGTGAGTAAGCTATTTGAAATCTAACTAGATATATAGCTTGCAGTAACTCAGTTGCATGATGAAAGGCTAACATGCAACTGTTTGCTCTAAGGGTTATTCTTTGATATTGCTCTATCCTGTACCCTACTCTAAACCTACTCCTTGTAATCAGTAAAGTTCTTCTCTGTACCTAGCATGGGAGAATTATTGGGAGAGGGTCTTGATTATGCCTTGGGGTCCCCTTGGTCAGGCTGACTAAGGGAGACCACTATTTGTGCTTCAAACTGAGGGAAGCACCCCAAGTTCTTGCAGTGGGCCGAGTACCCCCTTCAGGTCTATAAAGCCTGTGCACCTCATGAGGCACAGAGCCACTAACAGACCAAGACTCATGAGTGGTGGCAGCGTTACCCCCAGGCTTCCAGGTGTGCTCCAGGAAGGGGGTCATGAGGTGCCCCCAGGGAGGCACTCAGAGGCTGGAAGGTGATTGGGTGCAGTGAGGTGGGTGGCTCAGCACAGGAGCACCCCCTACTGGCCCACCACAAAGCCTACTTTTATCCACAGTTCCAAAAGTCTTTTTTCAAACAGTTGAAACAGATATTGAAGAAGGACAAAAACATCTGCATCATTAGACAGCACTATGATGTGTGAAACCAGATGAAACTGCATCAAATAAATGGATGACCAGCTGAGTATCTGTTTCTTCTAGAGCAGCAGACAGATGACTGCATACCTGAATGCCATTAGCTGTGATCATTATGGCCTCCCTTCTGTCACTTTCTCCTGTCATAGTTCCACTTAACACTGTAGTATGTATGCTACTATCTTCCTTTTTCACAAAAAGTAGTTATTACAACTGCCAGTCAAAAAAATCTCTCTTTTCTGAAGAAGGCCAAAACTTCTCCATCTGAACAGGTAAAGGAGTGTCAGGATTCAGTTTTATAAACTTGATTGGTGTAATAGTCTCTCTCCTTTATCTTATTTCAATGACTTCTCCGCATAACTGTCAATACGATATCTACCCTCTGAACCAGTTGGAATTGGATAGCTTTCCTCCATACTGTATCAAAAAGTTTTCATTTTTTTGCTTCAGACTTGGCGTACTTGAGACATAATGTCTACAATTATCTCTTTTTTTGTTGCTGTTCTGATGGAAATTGTAATCAAATGGCTGTAGTTTCTTCTCAAGCTCCCCTAAAAGAACTGACTTGGTTGGTTTAGTAAGAAGGCCACAATAATCAAATAATGTGTTAGATGGTAATAGATTATACTTCAGTGTGTTCTTAACAGACTCTCCTTGATCCTTTGCGGTGTAGGATTTTCTCAGCTGCAGAATAGGATTTCCTTTCTTATGCTGCAGTTGGTTTATGTTTTTCTACCTGTTTATCTCCATCAGAAACAAATCCTGGACATTTTACTTTCTTAATGGTATCTGAAAGTTTCTTTGTTTTCTTAAGGAAATATTCATCTCTAAACTGTGTATAAGTCTCCTTTGCATGTTCTCTGAATGAAAGTAGTCTTTCAGCTACCTTATAAAACAAGTTGCTTGCTTATGAAACTGTGAATTTGCATCTGACTGGATGTGATATATGGGTTCCCTCTACCCTTCATGAACTGGAACACACAGGAAACATGTGATGCAATAGTTGAGGCTGAACTCCCAGGCAAGTTACAGTGAGTGAATGTCTCACAATATCTAATTCTGTCAGATCCTGTTCATTCTTGGAATGTATTGCTGATTGCAAGAATTTCATGTTGCCCAGAGTGTCCAATTATACTTCTACTGGGACTTTTTAAGAGATCTCTGACTAGTTTTTTCCAACTTGATATCAGAAAAAACTGCACAGAATGACCTGTTCTGATGTCAGACAACAAAATGGCCATCTAAAAATTTTTGGTACACATCTGCATGTTGTGCCTGGAGATCCCTCACATTTTCAAGGTACCAACATGCATAGCACAAGTCAAATGCTGCCAAACTCTCTAAATCCAATAGGTGTGCCGCAGAACACTGGTGTGCCATGAGGCACGTTGTGGTGGAGTGGGGCCCCCCGACTAGCCACAGTGCTAGTTTCCCCACCTGCCTTTGGCCACACCACCCCCTGTCTCTTCTGCCATGCCTTGTTGTTAATTAATTAGGATATTAATTAAGGTGGGAGGCTGCCCATTCTTGCCCCAATTCCAGGGGGCGCTATCTGCAGCTCCACTCCTCCCCTACACCGCAGCCCAAGCCTCACAGATGGCATCCAGATAACAGTGCTCCCGGCCTACATCCGGACCAAACTTAGGCCTCGTTGTCAGGCCTCAGACACTCACATTCATACTGCCCTTCTCTCACTAAGGCCTATCACATGCCACCCTCTCTCTCACAGGGTCTTTTTCATGCCTCCATAACTTATACTGCCTTGCTCCCTCTTGAAGTGGGCCCCTAAGGCCATAAGCTTTAGCTAGCTCATACCTTGGGTGGCAGACATACCATCTTTTGGGTCTCTCCCACGACCCTCACCGGGGTAGTGGACAGCCAATTAACTGACTGAGTCTAAGCTTTCCCTGGCCCCTTCTGGGGCAACTATATACATTCAGACATGCTGTCTAGTTTCCCCATCACTGGGGTTCTACACCTGCCCCCTCATCTCTGCCCCCTTTCTGGGGCCACCCCTCACTGGGGCATTCTTAACCCACACCATGACTGGTGCCCCAGGGTCTCACAGGGACTCTCACTCCCCCCCTGGAGCAGCAGGTCATTGCGATCTACTATAGCTTTTACTTTTGGCCCACACTCAGCCTCCCAGCGGTGGAAGACTTACCGGGGTCAGGACTCCCCCTCTCTGACTGAGTCCCCTTTACTCAGCCTCTGGCCCAAACTACAGCCTTAAGCGCCCGGAAACATACCTTGGCATACTCTCCTCACATAGGGCCGCCCCTTCACTGGGGCACCTCATCTCTGCCCCCCTCACTGGGGCCACATGGCTTCCCTCCCTGGTGAGCTCAGGTGGCTGTAGCCATGCCTGGCCCCAACTGCCTTTCTGTGGGGTCCTATACCCCACAGGGCTCAGGTGGCCACAGTCATGCCTAGCCCCCACTCTTGCTCCTTAGGGTCTTGCACCCTACAGGGCTCAGGTAGCTGCAGCCATGCCTGGCCCCAGCTACCTCTGATGGTACATGACCCACCCAAAGGTGAGGGCTGGGGTTAAGGCGCCCCTACCCACCTTTCACCAGGGTGATAATTGGCCTGCAATTTCCTGGGGGCTCCCACGCCACTGAGAGCCCCACCAGGCCACCCACTCCTGGCACAGTGCAGTTTTAGGTCATGCCCAGGACCAGGAGCCTCCAAACCATCCCCTACAGCTCCTGCCCTTAACTTCAGGTTATTGCATGCAGCCTTACAGCCAGGCAATGTTACTGCCTGGCCTGCCTGTAGCAAACTGCTCTCTTTATATAGGTGGTCAGAGGTCTAAAATGGCCGCCACAATCAAGCACCTGCTGGCTGCTTGGCTCCACTCTTAAAGTGGCAGGCACCAACAGTGTCCTGCCACACATGTCCAGGTGTGCTGCGGAATTTTGAGCTGGAGCCACCCTCCCAACTCACCTGCTGCCGCCATGGACACACAGACAGATTGAGTGTGTGGCTCCAGCCAGTGATTTGCATCCATGCACTGTATTCAGCTGTGCCACCTTGGCCTCCCTCACCCCTCCTGCTCCATGCCTGGCCGCTTGGCCCCTGCACCCTCCGGTCTGTGCCTGGCCTCTCACTACCCCTGCCACTTCTCCCTGCTCTGCATTCGACTGGTGTGCTGCAGGATGGGAGAGGCCCGGTAAGTGTGCTGCCAGAACCAAAAGGTTGGGAAACGCTGCTCTAAACATAGGGAGGAAGTCCTGTACAGCTTGAAGATATGATTTCCAATCACCTTCTCTATCAGCAACTACCAGATTTTTGAGCATCTGAACTAGCTCAATGAAACATCCCAATATTTGCACATTTCAGATTTCACCTGACAGGAAGCGCTGAAAGCCTTGTAATCTTCATAGAGATCATTAATCATTAATAAAAGGTTTTCATAGGTGGCCTGAAATGTCTTTGCATCCTTATCTGTGAGAGATGTCTTCAGTTTTTGTGCATTTTTGAGTACTACAGAATAATTGTCAGAGGGAGTTATTTTCCCAAGGGCATCTCATTTCAGTTTTTGCATGACTTCTGACAAGATCAGAAATCCCTTGAATGACCTCACATAGTGACTACCTTTCATAATTGATTCTACACAGCTTTCCACCAAAACACCCTAAGCACCACTCCCATGCAGGTATTTTCCAATAATGTGCATGACAACTCTAGTGCAATGAAAATTTCCCATCATGGGAACAATGTCTGTAAACTCTTACGAGTGTTATTGTTATATCTGGGTTCATTATTATATCTGCATATTATTATTGGTTCATTATTATATCTGCATATTATTATGGGTTCATTATTATATCTGCAATTATATGAAATACTCCCTCATCATAAAAGACAGGTAGGGATGTCTGATTCAGTTGAGAGAGAATGCTTTTGTGGAAGCAAAGGATGGCTAAGGCCTCAAGGGGGGAGAAAGAAATTCCTTAAATAAGAGGAAGATGACCATTAAACTGTCTTGAAGGACACAAGACAGATAGCCCCAAGGCAGGAAAAGTTAGTTTAGGCAACCCTTTGTCTTGAATCTATAAAAGGTTGATTGCCCTGGATGTGAATTAGAGAGGCCACAGCAGAAATCTTTCTGTAAGGGTCTCTCTCCGATAGCTATCAAAATAAAGTTTCTACCTGACCTGATTCCAAATTCTACAGCGTGTTTTTTCCATGACAATTAAATGGTGCCGTGACTCGGATCCACAGCCAACGATGTGTTCGGAGGACCGTGAGCTGTTCCCCGCCAAACCCCGGCGCCACCAATGAAGGTAAGAGGCCTTTTAAATCTCTATTGGGGTGTCGGAGGAGGACTGCTCATAGGCTCCCTGCTCGCGTTGGGTAGCTGGATTCGAACCTTTGTTACAGGTCAGTGTAGAACCAAGACCGGTCATACTAATCTGGTAAATTCTGTCTGTCTCTGGAAAGCGCGCATAACTGGTAGGGAGAATCTGTCTGTTGCACAAGCACTTGCATCCAGCACAACACTGGGCTTTAGGAAGTCTGAGTGGGTGATGGGAATAAGATTGTGACCCTGATTGAATGGTGATTTGGAATTGGTCCAGGGCAAATTCTGAAACCACGTGCAGCTGCCCCGAGACGTACGCGAGTCCGGTTTGGGCGATGACCGGCG